ATGCAACGTTCAAGGCATGCCAAGTTACATTTAAGTCCACATAAAACATGTTCGACAACAATGTGGGTGTGTATGAGATTTTCTCCATAGGCAATTATTAAGGTTCATATACTTGCGTATGTATACAAAAGGTTTTCTGTTCAATCTGTTCCTGGAATAAACTTCTTTCTTCTGACATCCTCTTGTTGTTAATGTTGTTCTTCTTTGTTTCTGTTGTTGAACGCCGCGCACAAATGACGTCGCTGTCGACCGGCTTACGTCACTTCTTAGTACACACTGTCGGTGCGAATGCAACCCTTTAAATGGTACTGGGAAATAGTTTGCACAAAATCGTCCCAGTACTTTAGTACTGTACATTTAGTTCTGGAACTAAAGTGGTGCGAAAGGCCCTAATATATTCCTAGCTTCAAAGAGTCACAGATTAATGCCGTTTTTTACTCCCTGTAGTCTCATGAAGCGGAGGTCCTGAAACACTTAGCGGAGAAGCGTGAGCATGAGAAGGAGGTGCTTCAGAAAGCTCTAGAAGAAAACAACAATTTCAGCAAGATGGCAGAAGAGAAACTGAACCAGAAAATGGAAGCCAATAAAGAAAACCGTTCGGCCATCATGGCAGCCATGAATGAAAAGTTCAAAGAGAAGGTAAAGGTGATATGTTTTCATAGATGGTTTTATGATAAAATAATAATAATAATAATACTTTCTGCTTCTACTTTAGGACAAGAAGCTGGAAGAGGTTCGAAAAAACAAAGAAAACAAAGACGTCAACTGTGAAGAAAACTGAAAAACGTACAATTACAGAGGATCCTGATGTTTTTTTTTTTACATTCTCCAGTGAAAAAGTCGAAATATTCAGGAATGAAATATGCAACATTCAAGCACCGTTTACATGCCAAAACAGTTCTGAACAAGTATGTGTGTGGGTTTTAATGTGAGAGACAACAGGGGATAAACTTTGTTCACCAGAGAAAGCGATATTATGGTCCAAAAATCCAAAGATTTTTTTTTTTTTGAGTTCACGTGAGGGGTCATCATGGGTCCATATTCAGAAAACAAACAAATGCAGCATTTAGCAGTGATTTTACACTTTGATCAACTCTCCTTCACACATCTGTGTGCTAGTTAGACTGCAGCTTTGTCATTGTCTGATATTAGCTGTCTTCTCAACCTGAAAGGGACTCGTGTATGATCTTCTTAACATGATGTATTTCTTGAGCTTTTGTGTTTCGTGAGGTTAGGAGCTTGTTTGTGTATCTTTGGCTTTAAGCACTGACTGTTCTTTGTAGAAGTTTAGACTGGATATAGGAGGGCTTTACATGTGAAATGCAAAATTAGCAATACCTGTTGACATCTTTGACTGTTAACTTGTCAACTTAACGGTTGTACCAAATAAAATAATCACTAAAACTAGCGCTGGCTTTCAAGTGTTACAGTATGAAAAATGGGTGACTCTTTTTCAAAGCAATTTTTGAAAAGTATTACATATTGTGCCTTATGAGAAGTCTGTATTCATGTTGACTAAGTTAAAGTTACTAAAAACTTGTTTTAAATCTATTCTGAAGTTGTGGACAATTTTTCAGCTCCGCTAAGAAACCCATGTCAGTGTCCACTGATCACAGAAGAGCAGATTTAATATGGATTGTGTCTCCCTCTAGTGTAGAAAGTGATCTGTTCGTCCCCCCCAGTCAGTGTTTTAACGTATCCCAATGTGAACCAGTTTTTAAAGTGTTTTCCCCAGCTCAAGCAAGGTATGTTTAAGAAATGGGGCAACTGAAAAGTAAGTAATGTTCGTTTGAGTTGGTGACATTTGATCATTGAAGTATCAGGTGACCAAATTAGAGGGTATGCACAATTGTTCCATAGGTTTTGGGCATTTTGTGTCGATTCCTGATAAATTTAACGCAATTTAATAAACTGAAACCTTTATCTTTTTGGTCAAGTAATAATCATAGCTGATCTTAATCCGATTCGCATGAATATGGACGTTCCTGGAAACTAAATTACTTTAGTTAACCCCCCCACCCCCACCCCACTCAAGATCATTATAATTATTGGACACCTTCAGGTACAATTTAAGTATTTATGGCAACAAACCAGACTCCAATTTTATTTATTGGTGTATTTTTGATTTTTGTATTGTGCATCTATCTACAGAATGACCATGTTCAGTATTTTAATAACAGTTTGATCCATTAGGGGGAGCATTGCACAAGCACCTCAAATATAAGGAGGACCGATGCTGGTTTGTTCACACACTGACCAAAGGCACCACTGCAGTTCGTGACAGGCCTGTCACATACCTCTTCGTTTGTTGACATTAGCAACTCGCACTCATTATGTCAGATTTTATAGTGGATTGTTCCTCTAATGCACACTAATGTGGCTTTCACGAGAAGTGAAAAAAATCACATTCCTTATGCCCTACAATGGTGTGGGGGTGTCTTTCCCTGCGTCTCAATGTTCATACTATCCATCCTAAATAGTATGTGTGATTAGAATAAGTGTGTCCCAAAGCATAGTATGTTGAAAAGAGTATGCCAAAAGTCCAAGGATGGTCTACTATTTCAGGTCGATTTTTGAAGTGTGGATCCGTGCACACTCTAAAGGCTAAAACTGCCCACAATCCATTGCGCTTTGGCGAAGGATTCGTTCCAGAACTAAAAACACGAATAAAACGCGTTAGAAAAACTACAAATGTGGCAGATGCGTGCGATCGACGGTTAGGTAGAGAGGTTTACAAAAAGGGGTTTGAGTTACTAATAATCAACATTTAACCTGGTAAAAAAAATGTATTTATTGTTATCCGTGTTATATTTAATCTGCAACAGTAATGTGAACAGTGTTGGGGAAGTTACTTTTAAAAGTAATGCATTACAATA